TTGAACTCAGTATGGGATCTGAGATACATACCAAGGATATATTACAAGATAAATCATTTGCTTCATTGAACACATACAACAATGCATATTTCCACAGAGATCAGTGACCTTTGATGTGTATCACCAGTGATCAGTCAAGTAGAAACAGTCAAAATATTTTATCAGATTTTCTCAATTTTTGCATGATATTTTCATACAGGACATCTGTTGTTCAAACTCAGGGAAGACTTTATACTGATGAATAAGGTGACCAAGTTTGATAAAGTTTGGAATAGAATTAGTAAAGTTATTATGCACACAATAACAATTATTAACGACGACAACAACGACGACGGTGACGACGACGACGACAACGCCGGACAAAATTTTTCCCTTAATATACCTTTCCCTTCCATCTTTGATGGTACGGGCAAGGTAATAAATGAAAATTATTAAAATGAAATTTATAAAAAAAATATTTATAAAATGTGCACCTAATACATTTAATAATTTATGTAATTATAATTATTTTGTTGGTTTGAACTGAGGCATCTGCTAGGAAGTTTTTAATGTTATCCTCCATTTTTGTGAAGCAATTGTGAACAACACATCATGGGAAAAAATATTATCTATTTACAAACATCATCAGGGTGAGGGGGTTCTGTTGGTATAAAAGTTTATAGAAGTTATCTGAGACTTCAATATATGGAGATCTATATCAAATGATGTCAATAACACATAACTTACCAATACCAATCACAACAAAGACAGAAATACCAATCAGGATTCCAAATGACTCATAACCAAAGCAAACTCTGTAGACGACAAACGCCAGCGCAAAACTGAAAGCGATTGTGAGGAATCCCCAAATTGATAACCAAAGCGAGAAAGACGAAAGGATTATGACAAGTACGAGAATAAGACCACCACTGATAGCGCCCATGGACAGATCATGGTAAAACGTTTCCTGTACTTCCCAGTCGAATAATTCATTGCCACCATATAGCACAGAGATAGAGCTGAAATAACATGAAAAACAATTGTAATAAATTAGTATGAAGCTTACAATATACATTATTAAGAAAGTAAAGGAAGGCATGAAGGTAGTACAGCGATTGTTTCGATCAACATGTCGCAGAGGTCAACAAAATCCTGTACTGTCTGATTTTATACGTTGTGGTATTGTCATGATAATTTTATTACAGTAGAACGTTGATTATCCGGACTGTTAGGGCGACATGTTTTTTGTTCGGTTATGCAAACAGTTCGGATATGCGATCTTGTGTGAGCGTGCTCAAATTTACATGCTCACATACACACAAATTCTAACGCACATGACTGTATGAAATCAAACAATAGTACATGTAGAGTACGTCATTAAAAACATTTTTATTTAATCAGTAATACATTGTAATAAAAATGTTGCATGCTGGAATGTTAAAAAATGTTTCAAAATATCCGAAAAATGTAGCGATAATAAAGTTCCTTTGCTTCTTTCTTGGGAAAACCAAGTCCCGGAACCAAGTGAAGACGGATTTCTCTAAACGATCGTCACAGGCTGTTGTCAGTCCTGCATTTGAATCCATTTACTGGAAAAATCAAGCAGCTTTTGTTTTGCCTTGATATCGGATATTGTCGATTTACCAACACCATACTCGGTAGATAGATTGCTTGTGGTTTCGCCACGTTCTAGTCGATTTATAATTGACACCTTTGCATCCAAATCAAGCACACAGCGTTTGCATTTCACTAGGGGTAGCCATGTCAACGCTAGATAAAAGACGCTGATAAAGTAAACAGGTGAAAGGTCGCTTCCGTATTCGCTGTGTATAGATGGCTTGATGTTACCAGATTGCTCGTGGATTTTCTAATGGTAAACTGCTACAAGATGTCCAGATTTTATTGGATTCAGCAAAGTTTTTAACACCTAGAACGATTGACATAATAAATTGTTGTAAAAATCCAGGTTGGCTACTGTGATCACCGGACGTAAACACTTTGACGCTGTGAACCATTGAACGGCCCGCCGACTGTGGTCATTGGTTGCCGTTGTCTGCTGATAAACCATTAAAGAGGCACACCAAGGGGTTGTCGTTTCGTCTCTCTTTTTCACTGCACTATTAAACTGGCGTCGCTTCTGTGGCAAGACATCCCAGAAGTTATTTTCTTTCTTTTTTTATTTCGAAAAGGATGTGACTTCTGAACTGGACATTAAAATTAAAAATCGGAAAAAACATGGGATAGGAACTGCGGTGACTTACAACTTGGTAAAGTTAAGGATCTGACTGTAAACAGTGAAGAAGACATTTGATGAAGTTTGTGTTTTTAGGACATTTTTTATTTACAGTGGAACACTGGTGTGGCGTAATAGGCTTGTCTGAACTTAGGAAATTATTGGATACTGTAATTCATTTCATTGTTTGCGCAGACACTGTAAACAATGAACGTACACGTGAAAGACGTCGGATTACATGTTGATAATAGCCTTATTGAAAGTGTTGCACCAGCAAATCACACAAGACGACTGTAGTATTTATTGTTCACAGTTGACTTTTGTATTATACGGAACACAGCCAGACATGCATAAAAACTTTGGGGGACACACAGTAGGTTCGGATAACCGAACATTTCGGATAATCGATGTTCTACTGTATTATACATTTTTTCCTTCCTATAGTAATAAATT